GTGGCGAGGAACTCGGCGGTAAGAGCGGCTCGAAAGCGGGCGTCACTAGCGCGGAGGTGAGTGATAAGGTCGGCAGCAGTGTGAAACGAGGCTAAGTCTGGGAACAGGTATGGCAGGATGAGACTACCAACGGTGGCTGTGGCCGGGGCGGAATAGCGGGCAACGACAGCATCATACAGCGTCTTGGCAGTCTTAAGCTGGTTGAAATGCGCGCGCTCAGAGATCGGTAGGTGATTGCGAATAACAAGGCGTGCGACTGCGTCGCGGAGCTCCCACTGTGCTCGTTCAGGGGCAGGAGCAGTCTCAGCTGGAGTAGGGACAGTGCCAGTGACATAGGCTAGTAGTGATACTCCGTCTGCGACGTCAGTCATAAGGTAAAGTCGCAGATCACTAAGCCAGGTGTCAAACTCGATGGGGCGGCCGTCAGGCTCAAAAGCGAGAACAGTAAGGGTCGCCATGGTTGCAGCGCAGGCAAAAGTAGCTGGCTCAGGCAGCAGGCTCAGGCAGCAGGCTCAGGCAGCAGGCTCAGGCAGTAGGCTCAGGCAGCAGGCAAAGGCTGCAGGTTCAGGCAGCAGGCAACTGTAGCAGGCAGGTGCGCAAGGCAGACGGTAGAGGCGCAAGGCAGGCAAGAAAAAGACAGGGTAAACCCTAAACCCTGGCGGCAGGTACAGGCGGACGCAATGCACGGGGCAGCAATGCGCTGTACGAGAGGCAATCGCGACGTGCAGGGCCTAGGCGGGCCGCGCACGGACGGTAGGTGCAGCGCGCAGCGCTGGAGTGGGCCGCGCAGGCAGCAAATGCGACGCGCGGGGCGGAAAAGGGGCTGCGCGCGAGCAGCACATGCGACGCGCGGGCTGCAGACGGGCTGCGCGGGGCCTTAGCGGGCTGCGCGAGGCAGGGACGGGCCGCGCGCGAGCTATGCGGGCTCAGGGCGGGCTGCGCGGGCGACGGACGGGGCGCGACGCGGCTGGCAGCAGCAGTGCGCGCTAAAAAAAAGGCGTGCGCGCGCAGCCGAGGCGCGCGCGGGCAGCAGGCTAGGCAGACCAAAAGACAAGGCAGGTAGGCAGGCCGTTGGTGAGGTAACTTAGTAACTGGTGGGCCCTTAAACTTAGGTCCTAAGAACCTGCTCTAGATGCCATGTCGAGATAGCTAGGCAAGGTGGTTCGATTGACGAGAGAGTTTGGTACATGACACACAACCCTAAAGTGTTATCCCCTATAACATCTACCCCACTACAGCCTACCAATATATATCACACATATATATCATTTGACACATATGTATTCCCATTTCCATTTAATCATACTATTCCCCACCCCCCGACCATGTTATAACCTATCAGATCCATGTAACTCGGTAGATATAGACATTTTAATGGTACATACACTACAGGCACTCATACCGACCAAACTGACCAGCCCATTACTTATGTTTGTGGAGATGCAGTTAGTGTCGAGATAGTAAGCACGATGAGGAGCCATAGCTAGGGTTGACCTAGCTAGGCAAGAGAGAATGAAGCAAAGGAGAGAGTTGCACTAGCAACAATGGTGGTACAAATAGCTAACCCTAGAAGGGTTGTACTCGCTATAGAGCACCCCACTGCAGGCTAGAGCATAATATTCTGACACACCCCCATAGCCAAAGTGGGGTGTAATCAGCAGAGCTAGCAAAGCAGTACAAGCTCAGGGTGGATCACGATGTCACCACACATTCTGAGCACAAGTTCAAGAAGGAATAGTTTAAAGTTCACAATTATGAGTAAAGCTAGAGGCAGTCACAGAGGGTAAGTGAGGAGGAGGAGGGCTGGCGAGAGGAGAGTAGATTAGGAGGCGACGACTGAAGCTGCAGACACACGGGCAACAGACGGCTCTGGTGCGACACAGTGGCTACCGGGAATGAGTGCCCCGGAGTACAGGAGTAACAGGCTCCGCGGCTAATACGCGCGACAGGAGCAACGGACCCACAGGCGACGGCGCAACCGGCTCTCTGAGCTACCGGGAATGAGTGCCCCGGAGTACAGGCGCTGCGTACGACACGACGGCAACCTCCGCTCAACCTCCCCCAACAGTCCCACACCCCTCGACACACACCCCCTGCTTCAAACCCTAGCTCCACTCCCACGGTACCCCCCTTAAACCCCAAACCCTAGGCTCCCACACACCACCCCCCTCAGCGGCAGCTGTAGCAGAGGGAGACGAGGGAGGAGGAGGAGCAGGAGGAGTAACTCACAACCGACACCCCCATAGCCGCCACCCCCACACTCCTCACCCCCAAACCCTAAAACGGGCGGAACGGGGGAAGGAGCGCGGGGGACGGCGAGGGGGACGGCGCGCGGCCCCCAGGACGCCACCACGGGGCAGCGAGGGGCCGCGCGCGGCTCCTTAGGGCGCCGCGAAGGGGCAGCGGGGGGTCGCGAGTGACGGGAACGGGGGGGGGGGCCGCGAGCGACGGGAACGGGGGGCCGCGGGCGACGGGAACGGGGGGCCGCGGGCGACGGGAACGGGGGGCCGCGGGCGACGTGAAATCGGGGCAGCGGGTCGGGAAATCGGGGGCGCGCGGGGGTCCCCCACGGTAGGAAACCGCCGCGCGTCCGGGGCGCACGGCGGGTAGGAAAACCGCCGCACGCCCCCTGCGCGCGGCGGGATGAAAAATCCGTCGCACGCCACGGGGCGTGCGACACAAACAGTAGTAGGAGCAGCGGAAGACTGAGGTGGTGGGGCCCACCCACAGGATCGACCCAACTGGATCGTCCTGCTCTGATAGCATGTCGAGATAGTAAGCACGATGAGGAGCCATAGCTAGGGTTGACCTAGCTAGGCAAGAGAGAATGAAGCAAAGGAGAGAGTTGCACTAGCAACAATGGTGGTACAAATAGCTAACCCTAGAAGGGTTGTACTCGCTATAGAGCACCCCACTGCAGGCTAGAGCATAATATTATGACAGTTAGTGCCATTTTCTTGCCAGTTCACTAGATTAGGCCTTCTACTTCAACAACACTAGCTTTTAACCTTTCCGATCCACATAATTTGGGAGATTTCGGAGTTTCAGTTCCGCCTTGTACCTGCACACAAGCGTGCATACTTACGGAACCGACCGACGCACTATTCTCTCTGTACGAATAAAGTGAATACCATATGTATTCCCATTTCCGTTAGTATTTTACTATGCCCCACCCCCTGACCATGTTTTAACCTATCAGATTCATGTAATTTGGCAAATATAGACATTCCAATGGTACATGCACTATAGGCACTCATACCGACAAAACTGACAAGCCCATTACTTATGTTTGTAGAGATGCAGTTAGTGCCATTTTCTTGGCAGTCCACTAGATTAGGCCTTCTAGTTTAACAACACTAGCTTTTAACCTTTCCGATCCACATAATTTGGGAGATTTCGGATTTTCAGTTTTGCCTTGTACCTGCACACAAGCGTGCATACTGACCGAACCGACCGACGCACTATTCTCTCTGTACGAATAAAGTGAATACCATATGTATTCCCATTTCTGTTAAACTATACTATTTCCCACCCCCCGACCATGTTTTAACCTATCGGATCTATGTAATTTGGCAGATATAGACATTCGAATGGTACATGCACTACAGCACTCATACCGACCAAACTGACCAGCCCATTAATTATGTTTGTAAAGATGCAGTTAGTTGCATTTTCTTGCCAGTTCACTAAATTAGGTATTCTATTTCAACAACACTAGCTTTTAACCTTTCCAATTCACACTGGCTTCAACAACACTAACCAATCTCGTTCAATATGCGTCATAGCACTATTGCAGCCGGGGTGGCGAAACTGATCACTCGCCTCACGCGTAGCCCTCTCGACTTCATCAGCTGCCACAGCCTCCGCCATCCTCTCCTCCCGCTCCACACGCACCCTCCCTCCTTGCAATCTTGCTCGTCGCGTGGCTGCCTGCTCTTCTGCGGAGATAACTCTAGTAACGGGAGCTAGACTACGGGCTAGGCACGGGTGCTCGTGTGATCTCTGCGTTCCTCGGTCCTTAGTCGTTTTCCTAGTGCACACACTGCTTGCTAGTTCACTAGAGAAAGTTGACAATAATGATTACAAAGAAGTTGGCTAGACAAGACTACATCAGAGCTAGGGTGCAAGCAGGTCGACTGCCAGCGCAGCACGGTCGACCGCGTGCCAGCACGACTTGGTCGACCGCGCTCCAGCAGTGCAGGGACGCGGCTTGCCAACGCTGCAGGTCGACGGCGAGACAACAGCGCAAGTCGACGGCGTGCCAGCGTTGCTCCTGCAGTCCAGCATCGCACCCGCTTCGCAGGTGCTCGTAGATGATTGGCGTGCACTGCTTCGTCACCTGCACAGCGCACACACCAAGTCCACCTCGTGCTGACGACTGCATCTGATGCACCACGTCGACCTCGGGATACCATCACCGAGGTCGTCCTCGCCAAAACCACCTGGGCGACCTTCGCAAGCCTTCGCAGCACCTCGTCACCCAGGTAACTTGGTCGACCGGGCAACCAGGTCGACCAGAGGCTCCAGTGCGTGCCCGTCGACCACCCAGGTCGACGACCACTTCCGGTCGACCTCCCAGGTCGACCACTGCCTCTGGTACGTGCCGGTCGACCTCCCAAGTCGACGGCCACCTCCAGTCGACCTCCCCAGGTCGACCACTATTCCCTGGTCGACCAGAAGGCCTGGTCGACGTCCCTGGTCGACCAGAAGGGGTTGGTCGACGTCCCAGGTCGACCACCTGAAGTTGGCGCCCTCCCGAAGTCGGCGCCCATGCAGTGGCTCCCCGTGCAGGTCGACCAACCTCGTCGACCAGCCCGCCCACTGCTGCAGGTCGGCTGCACCCCTACACCCGACCACGAAGTCGGATCCGCCCAAGCGAGGACGGGGCCAACACCCAACTCCCGTTGACATATTGCCAACTACGGCGCATGTTCTCAACCTCTTGCATCATGGTCGCAGCAGCTTCTGCTCGCTCCCGTTCCGCGTCTGCCAACCTTTGCTCATCCTCGGCGATCGCCCGCAATGTCTCATCATCCAACGTTCGAGATGCGTTTCCGGCATTCCCTGTAGTTGCAGTCTCCGCGTTTGCTCTTTGATCTTCACGCTCAATCTCATCCCGGGCGCTTCGTGCGTCTTCCGCCAATATCTGGCGCAAAGCCTCAGCCTCTATCCTAGCCATCTCTGCAGCCTGTATCCTCTCCCGCTCCCCCTCTGCCCTACAGCATTCTCGTCCCGCCCGAAGCAGCTCGACAGCTTCAGCCAACCTCCGTTCATGCTCTATACGCTCCCGCTCTTCGGCGGCCCTCGTCCTGGCTGCTTCCTCGCGTCTTTGCCGAGACTCCAATTCATCCACCCATCTACGGCGCATCTCCTCAAGCTCTGCCGCTCTACTCTCTTCCTCTCGAGTTCGTTCATCTTCCACGCCGACCCTCCCATGCACCGTCGATGTAGTAACACACTCCACACCCATTTCAACTTCTGCAATCAGTCGTGGTGCCTCCGTCGGTCGAGGCGCGTCCGTTGTAACAATGCGCGCCGCCTCCGCGCTGGGTTGTATCGCCTCTGCCTCGAGCCTCGCCTCAACCCTGTGGAGTTCCTCCTCTCGACGAAGTAAAGCCTCCTCGTCCAAGGCTCTGTCTGCATCCTCCCTCGCCCTCTCCTCTCTTACCCGCCGAGACTCTTCCTCTCTACGTATCAATGCAGCTTCTTCCGCCCTCATCCTATCTGCGGTCTCTGCCGTCCGACGTTCCTGCTGCTCTCTCAGATGCTCCGCTGCGGTCCTCGTTCTCTCTGCCGCCTCCCTTGCAAGCCGCGCCTCTTCCTCTCTGCGTACGATGCCCGCTGCCTCATTCCTGACCCTGTCATCCTCCTCTGCTCTCTGCCGGTCCTGTTCCGCTCTTCTTCGATCCTCTTCGGCCTTCGCCTTGTTTGCCTCCTCTCTAGCAAGCCGAGCCTCTTCCTCTCTGCGAATCAATGCAGCAGCTTCCGCCCTCACCCTATCTGCTGCCTCTGCGTTCGGACGCTGCTGCTCCGCTCTCTGGACCTCCTCTGCTGCCTTCGCCCTATCTGCCGCCTCTCTAGCCAGCCGAGCCTCCTTCTCTTTGCGCTCAAGCTCTGCTGCCTCATTCCTGACCCTCCTCTCCTCAGCCTCCTCCCTCTGCCGGTCCTGTTCCGCTTTCCTGCGATCCTCTTCTTCCTTAGCCTTCTCTGCCTTCTCTCTAGCAAGACGAGCCTCTACCTCTCTGCGAATCAATGCCTCAGTCTCCGCCCTCACCCTATCTGCCGCCTCTGCGTTCAGACGCTGCTGCTCCGCTCTCTGGACCTCCTCTGCTGCCTTCGCCCTATCTGCCGCCTCTCTAGCCAGCCGAGCCTCCTCCTCTTTGCGCACAAGCTCTGCTGCCTCATTCCTGACCCTCCTCTCCTCAGCCTCCTCCCTCTGCCGGTCCTGTTCCGCTTTCCTGCGATCCTCTTCTTCCTTCGCCTTCTCTGCCTTCTCTCTAGCAAGCCGAGCCTCTACCTCTCTGCGAATCAATGCCTCGGTCTCCGCCCTCACCCTATCTGCCGCCTCTGCGTTCAGACGCTGCTGCTCCGCTCTCTGGACGTCCACTGCAGCCCTCGCCCTATCTGCCGCCTCTCTATCCAGACGAGCCTCCTCCTCTCTGCGCACAATCTCTGCTGCCTCATTCCTGACCCTCCTCTCCTCAGCCTCCTCCATCTGCCGGTCCTGTTCCGCTTTCCTGCGATCCTCTTCTTCCTTCGCCTTCTCTGCCTTCTCTCTAGCAAGCCGAGCCTCTTCCTCTCTGCGAATCAATGCAGCAGCTTCCGCCCTCACCCTATCTGCTGCCTCTGCGTTCAGACGCTGCTGCTCCGCTCTCTGGACCTCCTTTGATGCCTTCGCCCAATCTGCCGCCTCTCTAGCCAGCCGAGCCTCCTCCTCTTTGCGCACAAGCTCTGCTGCCTCATTCCTGACCCTCCTCTCCTCAGCCTCCTCCCTCTGCCGGTCCTGTTCCGCTTTCTTGCGATCCTCTTCTTCCTTCGCCTTCTCTGCCTTCTCTCTAGCAAGCCGAGCCTCTACCTCTCTGCGAATCAATGCCTCAGTCTCCGCCCTCACCCTATCTGCTGCCTCCGCGTTCAGACGCTGCTGCTCCGCTCTCTGGACCTCCTCTGCTGCCTTCGCCCTATCCGCCGCCTCTCTAGCCAGCCGAGCCTCCTCCTCTTTGCGCACAAGCTCTGCTGCCTCGTTCCTGACCCTCCTCTCCTCAGCCTCCTCCATCTGCCGGTCCTGTTCCGCTTTCCTGCGATCCTCTTCGTCCTTCGCCTTCTCTGCCTTCTCTCTAGCAAGCCGAGCCTCTACCTCTCTGCGAATCAATGCAGCAGCTTCCGCCCTCACCCTATCTGCTGCCTCTGCGTTCAGACGCTGCTGCTCCGCTCTCTGGACCTCCTCTGCTGCCTTCGCCCTATCTGCCGCCTCTCTAGCCAGCCGAGCCTCCTCCTCTTTGCGCACAAGCTCTGCTGCCTCATTCCTGACCCTCCTCTCCTCAGCCTCCTCCCTCTGCCGGTCCTGTTCCGCTTTCCTGCGATCCTCTTCTTCCTTCGCCTTATCTGCCTTCTCTCTAGCAAGCCGAGCCTCTACCTCTCTGCGAATCAATGCCTCGGTCTCCGCCCTCACCCTATCTGCTGCCTCTGCGTTCAGACAACCCTGCTCCGCTCTCTGGACCTCCTCTGCCGACTCTGTAGCACGCCGCGCCTCTTCCTCCCGGCGATCGATCGCTGCTGCCGCAGATCTGAGCCAATCCTCATCTTCTGCCCTTTGCCCCTCCTTTTCCGCTCTCATTCGATCCTCTACGGCCTTCGCCTTCTCTGCATCCTCGCTTGCACGCCGAGCTTCTTGCGGTCTCTGCCGTTCCGCCTCCAATCTCCTACGCTTCTCTGCAGCATTCGCCCGTTCTGCTGCAAGTGCACGACGCGCCTCATCCACTGTCAGTTTATTCGCCTCTGCCTCCAACCTGGCACTACCCGCGACCTGCACCATCTGCATGTCCTCGTCAGGTCTTGTAGTTCGATCCTCTTCAGCTCTGCCACTTTCTGCCGCCTCATGTCCTCGTCGCGTCTCTGCATCCTTCTGGCCTGTCGACTGAGCCTCATTCCTCGCCCTCTTCACACCGTCTGCTGTTTGTCGTCCCTCCTCACTCCTTTTCTGCTCGCCTGCGGCCCTTGATTTCTCCGCCTCCGCCCGCACACGTCGATTCACCTCCTCTATGCGTATAAAATCCTCTGCCATTGATTTCGCCTTCTCTGCAGCCTCCGCCTTTGCTGCCTCCACCATTTCTCGGTCTGGCTCGTCTGATCCTGGCCCAGAATCATGCTGAATGCAGCGCCTCACCTCTGCAGACCCCTCGGTGTCAGCGTCAACCTCTATCGTCACCCTGTCTGGTAGCGCTATTTCATTCCCATCCGAATCTGGCGCGTGCTTTGCTCTGCCTTGCATAGCCGCTGTACCTCTGCGGGTGTACACAAATGTAGACGATGAATCCTCTACGGTTTTTCGCACCTCCACATTGTCGTTCTCTGACTGCAGGTTCGGCAACTCGATTTCTACACCTGCAGCTTCCTCTTCAGCCGGTAAGCTACCCGCTGGCGCGATCTCTCCGTCCGTCGCTTCCGTAGCAGCTTCGCCGTCTGTAACATCCCCCTGCCCCGCCAGCGTCTCGTCCTCGTTGTCGTCGATGTGCACTGTGAACAGCTTGTCACACGCGCCCACGAGCAATTCCCGGACCTTATCCTTCGTGCGCGTGCCCTTGCCGAGAGTCACAAATGTGTCATCCCACTGAAGTCGTAGAATCTCGTCCCATTTCTCGAGCACTTTTGTCCATACGTGGGCGACTTGAAGGCCCGAACCTGGTTGTGACCATCCCAAATTTTTCGTCATCTGCGATCAGGGAGACCAATGATCCGCTGTTAGCGCGTTGCGCATGAAACACAATCTATCCGACCAGAATAACATGACGAGCATAACTCACCCCCCCTGGAAATTGGAGATACAAATCCGCCAACCGAGCTTTCATGTCGCTAACGACTTGTTTGTCCCGAACGTTAGTGTTGCTCTCAATAAACGCAGTGTACTCCACAATCAATTGCTCCTGCAACCACCTGTGGTAGAAACACACAAAGCGTATGTCAATAACAGGACCGCCGAATTAGCAACATCATAAGCACACCCACTTACTGTAACACCTTCTCCGCAAATCCGCCGAGAGAGTGTGACGGTACACCACTCTTGGGGTCGAAGTACAGGATGCGCGTACAGTCTCTACTCCCAGTGGGACGGCGGAGGTCGCATGGAGCTAAGAGTATGAGGAGGCTTATTGTCGCTTTAGGTTTACTGCTCAATCTGCAAATGTGAAACCATCATTGTTAGAAAAACTCTCGATCAAAACTCATCCACAGCGATGACGAGGAATCACTTACTTGGACCATAACGGGAATACGAGGGCGTCTTTGGAGAGGAGGCCGTCCGTTGGCTTCTTCGATATCGCCTTTGGTTGGATGAGTTTAATCCGTTTCCGCACAAACGATGTAGAAACGATCGTAATTTTTTGCCGTTGAGGTATCGGGAGAAGATTCTTGGTTAATGCCCTGCATTCAAAGCGCGCACGTTTACAAGATGTTGGTTTTAGAGGACGTGGGTTGATGCGTATGACAGTATGCTCTAGAAGCAGATGGACAAGAGGACCAAGATATACTTACAAGATGGAGAAGTTCAGAAGATCCTCTGACCATTCCTTATGCGAGTCGTTCAAAGTAACGTAGTCTTCATTGGTAATGCTAACCTTTAAGCCGCAACCCCTAAGCAGAGGCGGGTCGGCCATGAAATGCTCGACTTGGTTCGTCTCCTAGTAAGACGCACAAGATGTGAGTAGCAAGCCACTACCGGGCCTCTGAGCACGGACTCCACCTATGGCTCCTGGGGCACTCGGAAGTACTCTGTGAAACCTCGCGGAGGAACTCTGGGAGGATATCTGCTGGCGGGCGTTGTAGAATCAAGATTGGAAGCCTAAACTGGCAGAATGAAGTTGGTCGATGGGGTTGGAAGCTGAAATGGATTGGATTGTGAGGGGTGGGGCAGAGTTTCATGCTCGTGGTGCAAATACGAATGGGTCGCGTTCACCAGCGCAGGATGGCACCTTATGTGGCGCGTGATATTTCACGGCGGTTAGCTTAGACGCATCTGTTCGCAGCTTTTGTTGCGCGGTGGGGGTTGAAACTTGCCGTATAGGGGACGATTTGCACAAGTACACTCAATGTAAACATGAACTGTTGTCTCCCGCGTAGGGTGGTGTTCAAGTGTTGGGGAATCTGCTCCACATCTGCGACCGCGAATCACGTGACTCAAATGTCGCAGATGTTCTGCCAAACCTGACACGTGGCGCCGTCAGACTAAGGCCTTATCTACGCATCGGATGGTGTCGCGGTCTTCTGCACCGCACAACCTTCTTTGCGCGCGTCAGGTGATACCCGCCAGACGTTTAGTCAGGGCTGCCCGCAAAATTTTTTAGTGGCGAATAGGATACCCAGATCTCTGCGATCCCGTTCGGAACTTTCTGCGCAGATAGAATCTGACACCAACTCTGGCTGACCTGGTCTCTGCGTCGATCTTATCTGCACGACGCAGAGTCCGCGCTATAGCGAATCTACACCTCGTGCAAGACCTCAATGTTGCGCCCTGAAACCCTGTGATGTACAGTTTTTTGTTTTGTTGTACTATAATTGAGTCAATTCATGAGACGTTGGCTAAGCACCACATATATGTAGCCGTAGCCACCAACGGACATCAACGTCTTGAAATGCTCAACAAATGAGGATCCCCACTCAGTTTCACGCACTAATTCCAACATTTGGTACGCGTTTTGCAGCATAGTGCAAATGCAAGCATTTTTGCATGAAGATCGCGCTCATGCTTCTAGAACAAAGCATGAAAGGCCTGTCAAAAAAAACTTGGATTGACCTGAAAATGAGAGGGGGATCTAGAATCAGTGTAAGGAGGATCCCCACCCAGTTTCAGACACTAATTCCATCGTTTGGCTGGTGTTTTGCATCAAAATCCAAATGCAGGCATTTCTGCTGCAAATTCAGGCTTAACTTTTAGAACAAAGCATGAAAGCCCTATAAAAAAACATTGGATTGACCTGAAACTGAGAGGGGGATCTAGAATCATTGTAAGGAGGATCCCCACCCAGTTTCACACACTAATTCCATCGTTTGGTTGGTGTTTGGCATCAGAATCCAAATGCAGGCAGTTCTGCAGAAAATTCAGGCTTATCTTTTAGAAGGCCTATAAAAAAAAAAATGGATAACCCTGAAACTGAGAGGGGGATCTATAATCATTGTAAGGAGGATCCCCACCCTGTTTCACACTCTAATTCCATGGTTTGGTTGGTTTTTTGCATCAAAATCCAAATGCAGGCATTTCTGCAGAAAAATCAGGCTTATCATTTAGAACAAAGCATGAAAGGCTTATCAAACCTTAATGGAATGACTTGAAAATGGGAGGGTGATCTATATAGTGTGATAAGGCTCCCCACCCATTTTGAGGCACTAATTCCATGGTTTGGTTGGTGTTTTGTATCAAAATCCAAATGCAGGCTTTTCTGCTGCAAATTCAGGCTTATCTTTTAGAAAAAAGCATGAATTGCCTATCAAACCTTATTGGAATGACTTGAAAATGGGAGGGGGATCTAGAATTAATGTGATGATGCTCCCCACCCATTTTGAGACCCTAATTCCATGGTTTGATTGGTGTTTCGCATCAAAATCCAAATGCAGGCATTTCTGCTGCAAATTCAGGCTTATCTTTTAGAACAAAGCATGAATTGCCTATCAAACCTTAATGGTGTTTTGCATCAAAATCCAAATGCAGGCATTTCTGCAGAAACAAGCGTCAACAACCTATCTATGGCTCGTGGATTGCTCTGAAATTTGGTAGAGAATCTTCCAATGTTTGGATGATACTCCCCTCAGAAAATGAGATCATTTAGACCACATAACAAAGGTTTGCAAAGCTTTATGCAATTGTAGGCAATGTTGACGAAAAATGATGCACGGAGCTGAAGCAACCAACCACTGATAAGGCAGACAGGCAGCATAGTAGGTGATAACAGTAGCACAAACTTCCCACCCCAAAAAGAACGTGTTTGAAAATTACAACTGTCAGAGACAGCCAGAGAATGAGGTGTTATGTGCTAGGAGCTTCATTGGTATGGCTTGAAAGGTTGGTTTTGATGATTTTTACACAAAAAAACTTTAAGGTCATAACAAGTAGAGGATGTCAAGGGATGAAGTTTGAGCTATTAAACAACTGATTTGGACCACTATCCAAGTGGATATGAGCATTCTAATCTACCCCATAAGAAGGGAATTTGCCCCAAAAAGACACCCTTGAATGTGTCTTTTGCCATTATTTTTGTTGTAGGTGTGTAAAGGATATGTAAATCTATCGCCAGATGAAAAAAAACAACCAACTTTGAATTTTACCAACACTTAGCCAATTCTGGGGCTTTCAAATTTGCATGTCTGTGAACACAATCTGAATGAAATGAGTCTGTAAGCTTGCAAAGTATAGAAATTTGACTGTTCGGGTTGTTACAAAAGACCACTCTGCGCGAACCCCTTCTGGCGACGGTCGCGATTGGCACTGTTCATGTCGAACGAAATGTTGGCGAAATTTCGTTAATCATATATTTATAACTACATGAACTGTCAAACATTATATATGTTGCGTTTGTTAGGCTACAGTGGGTTAGCCTATATGGGGTACACAATTCTAGGGTTTGCTATTTGTACTGATTTCTCTGTTAGTTCAATCATTCCTGTCTGTTAACTCCGACATGGTTTCAGAGCAGGTCCTTCGCTAGGACCGTCCTAAGGGCCCACCTACCTACCTACCTACCTACTACCGGAGTGCCTTCTTAGCGCCTCCCACGTAGCGCCCTCGAGCGCTTTATTATTAACCTTTTTTTTTCGGCCCCGCTGGCCCCGTCGATCGAGCCCCGCCTAGAGGCCCCGCGGCCCCGTCGTTTTTTGACCTAGAGGCCCCTCACGGCCCCGTCGCGCCGCCCCTTAGCCGCTCGCGCGCGGTCCCATTCCCTCGCGCACGCCCGCAGCCGCCCGTCGCCCGCTAGCGCACGCCCCGCAGGCCCGCAGCCCGCCGTCGCAGCAGCCGCTCGCTCGCAGCCGCCCGTCGCCCGCTAGCGCACACTTCGCAGCCGCCCGTCGCCTGCTCGTGCACGCCCCGCAGCCGCCCGTTGCCTGCTCGCGCACGCCCCGCAGCTGCTCGTCGCCCGCTCGCGCACGCCCCGCAGCCGCCCGTCGCCCGCTGGCGCACGCCCCGCAGCCGCTCGTCGCCTTCACACACACGCCCCGCAGGCCTGTAGCCCGCCGTCTCAGTGGCCGCCCGCCTGCAGCCGCCGTCGCCCACTCGCGCACGCCCTGCTGCCCGCAGCCGCTTGTACGCCGCTTCTTCCGCTGCTGCTTGCGCACCGCTCCCTCCCGAGCGCCGTTGCTACCCCTACGCTGCTGCTGCCCGTGCGCCACCGCTACTCGTGCACCGCCGCTGCCACTCGTGCGCTTCTGCAGCCGCCGCCCGCGAGGCCCACGCTCTCACTGCTATTATTTTCTACCTACCGTTGCAGCTCCTGCTGCCCAGCTACCTACTACTGCCGCTAGTGTGCCACTACGGACAGTCGACCCCGCCCGCGCCTTACCTAGTGGCCCAGCCGGCCCCGTTGACTCTCCGCACACTGTTCCAGCGGCCTGATTCCTACTGCTACTGTCGCTATGGCTAGCCCTCCCGTTCTAGCTTTCGATGCCGAGGGCCGTCCGGTGAAGTTCGAAACCTGGCTAGATGACCTGCATCTGTTCCTACAGCTCACTGCCAAGGAAGATATCTCACTGTACGACCACGCCCTAGGCCATGCCACTGCCCCTGACTCGTCTGCTGACAGCACTCTGCGTTCCCAGTGGCAGACCCGTGATGCACACGCTCGCTTTGCTATTCGCAACTCCCTGC